TCCTACTCGTGTAGCTTTAATAATAAATATTTATTTATTTTCTATTTTGATTGACATGCATGGCAAAGTATCTACATGTAAATCTAATTAATAAAAATATAAATCGAAAATGCATTTTATGGTAAATGCGCGTATCTTCATTAACTTTATATAAGGAGAAGAACAGAATAAATTTTTTAATATAAATACGTGTTTTGTGCATGTATAGATACAATTAGTGCCTAATATATCTTAAAGAAGACAATACAATTCTGTTGTTGAAAATTTGCATCTGGAAGAACGTAAATGTTGCTTTTGGTGGGATCGAGAACCCATTCATAGTTTGTAACGTTTTATTAGACTATTTTCAGTACAGTTAACATTATCCTCGTCTAATGTCTTCTAATACGTAAAGTAGATCCCTAAGCAGTTGGTTTTACAATGAGCATGGTGACAGTTATTTAATTTTTGTATTATCAAACAAACCCTTGTTATTATTTTGTATCGTCTCGTAATAATATGGTAAGTTCACATTATATTTTCAGTTTTACACCTTTTTCAAATTCATTTGCTGAAAGTACCAATATATATTTTTTAAAAATTTAAAAAATAGAAAATGCTTTAAGGGGTACCAGACTTATTATATATTTTTATTACGTTTTTTTTTTAGTATTTACTGTTTACTATATAAACATCTTGCGATCTTGCTTTGTCTAGTATAGCATTTACTTCATTAATAGTTTTTATTGGCGTACATTATCATATTTTATAGTCATTTAATTATTAATGCCTGCACTTGATCTTCATAAATACAATAGATACAACGCATTCCTAAATGCATTTTTATGTAAAATTGTGTTTTATTTTTCTGATACAATAATATTTCATCATTAAAAATGCAGGTATGAACCAATACAATTCACTGATAATTTTATAAAAAAACGTCTTTAGTTTAAACAATAGTACCGAAACGAAGATAGAATGTGTTGCTAAAATGCTAAAAACCTCAAAAATTTTGTTGATTAAGTGATTAGCTGAAAAGTTAATTTATTTATAGATAAATCAAGTATGAATAGATATACAAACAAAAAAAATGGTTATTCACGTACTATTAATCGTAAAAATATTTTTGATTTGTTTAGACTCTGCAGCATCCTCAGGGTAAAAAAAATTGAAAATGTCATACCCCTTAAATGATAAGACGTAAGAAGCGTTTTTATATATGTTTCTGATAACGTTCATGAGTACAATATTAATATATAATCATAATCGATTAGTATATGACCTAGGTCTACATCTACCCCTCCTAACTCCTGTTTCTGCATCTAATATGTCTCTGACTAGACCTTCATGCCTGAGATTAATCTTATAAAAATTTAAAAAAAAAATACTATTACAACTGGTGCTCTCGTGTTTTTTCATATTTAATTAAAGTTAAAAATCATTTTAATAAGCATGTGTTTTGTGGTTAGATATGTTTAATTAACATTTTAGTCAATTGTGTAAAAATTTGAAATAAGTGCCAAATCACGTGAAATAAAATGGAGTAAGGTCGCGTGTAGTCGTGTGATATTTTGTGTCATGTGAACTATGATGATTTCTGCTTTCTATTTTGGTATAGATAGACCAACGGCAGAGGTTGAAAACGGCCTTATTTTCAGCATTTCCGTATGAAGATGGTGTACGCTGCGTAAATCGCAACAACACTATGAGAAACGAGAAAGTTGGTCACCATTCACCCGGAAACATTAGTTATCATTGCGCTCAGATGGTACCTACTCTAAATAAAGAACACGATTTGACCCAGCAAACGCTTCTTAACTTACATTGAAATAATTTCATGGTAGTTTAATAAAATAGAAAATCGGACTTAAACAAAAGTTTTCTCTTTTATATTTTCGTCGTTCAAATGCGATCCATTAAGACCTCCGAACTTCGAAATTTGGACGTCAAAATTTAATAGTCATTTAAAATAAAAATAATTGTATGGACAAATTTTAGAACTTTTCTCTAGTTTCAACGTGGGATTATAGTTATTTTATTTAAATAATTGAATTCACAATTTATACTGTACATCATCGAAGTCTCTCAGTAACACTTTTTCATGTGTATTTGTCCAAACTTTTTAATTCTTTTTTGTACATTCAGTAAATGACAGACAGCAACGAGAATTTTGCAATTAATGTTACCTTCCTGCTATAGTAGTAACTGCATAATTAACCATCTGTCTATTATTATGTAATGTTTAGTTAACGATTTATTTACACAGCGGAATTAAATGTTTAATGAGATGAAAATAATAGGTAATGTTTATATACCTTTCAAAGTCTGTAGTTAAGAAACAAGATTATCTCGAACAATAATTTAATTAAAAATCATTAAATGGTAAATTCCACAATTTAACGGGGCATACTGAGTGTACAAATATTTTGAACTGTGGTAAAAAAAATCCCGTTCACATTTTGCATTCCTACTCGTGTAGCAGATCAAGTGCAATAAAACCATTTCAACATCCACGGAATTGCTTTTGTATTGTAAGAGTGAGCTCTCATCAATACTATCTTAAGTTCTTATGAATTTCTCAACCTTTTAAAGCAATTTAATGATCCGGTTATCTTGTTATCTAATGGCTAATAACGCTACAAATAAAAGTTTAGTAAGTGCATCTCAAAAAAGGACAATATTAGACAACAGTTTGTTTATAAAAAGTCATATTTAGAAAGTTATTTTAACAAATCATTACAAAGCAAAGTGGTAAGATTTTTGTATAGTCATAAAATGTATTTCTAAAGCGGGGTTTTAAAAGTTTATTGCAACTTTTAATATTTGTTTATGTCGAAACAGGGCTTATGTATGTTCAATTTCAAATTCAATAATAATAAGCCGGTTGTACTTCCCCTCTTTTAAGGATTCGTATGTTGAGTAAGTTGACAAACAGTTCCAATGCTGTTATTATTTTTTCGCAATAATAACATACTTTTGTGTAACAGCAAAAGATAGGTATGTAATTGTACATTTGTCCTCTACCTAGATATCTTTCTAATGGTCGGTTTTCAGTAAAATATGTATGCACCTACTGTTGGCATCACGATCAAACATGAGTTTCAAATTCGAATTCTGCTGCTACAAAACAAACTGTACTTTTTTAATTACAAATATATAACAAATTCTCCTTCTAAATCATAACTATATTAGTAATTTTCTTGGTAATTTATTGGACATTTGTCATACGTACCAGTAGACAAACTTTCAAATACTCTCATCATTAAGTGCCTTGACATTGCCTTGAAGATTTTCGTTAGCTCCAACCTAGCTCCAAATAACTTCTATCTTCCTGAAAATTTCTTGATATGGCAGACAAAACTTGATATCAAATTCATTATTAGCCTTCCCAAAAATACTTTCAAAGTAAAAACTTGTGTTTAAAAAAAGGCATTTACAATAGAAAAGTGAAATAAATATTATCTACTCGTTTTGTATTTGTATATTAAACAGAACTATTCTAAATAAATCTGATCTCTGATGATGATATGTACTTTTACGTTTTTCCAGAAACATTCAACTCAATTGGTTTTTTCGTTAATAATTTCGTCAGCATTGGCTGCAACCACGAGTTACCAGAATGTTAAATTTTTACCCTTGCCCGCGTCAAATACGAAAACATTAAATAATGGTTTGGCAAGGCGAGCCAGAAGTTACCATTTACCATACACCCCTCTCTATAGCGAAACATTTTGGCCGCCCACCCTTGCTAATCATGATGAAGGCGATTTAATTTTGGACTTACCTACATTATATGCTGAAAATTTGGATTCCATTTACCAGCCTAGCATTGATCTCTCTCTCGTAAATGTCAATGGTAAATCTTCTAATTAAACAGACTTTTTAGATAAATAATTCATTTTTCTAAAGGTATATAGTGCTAAATGTACATTATTTACTATAACAATTTGAAGCACACACTTTTCTAATGTATTAAATCTAAATGTTCTTTAAATCTAACGTTGATTGTCTTGCGACTTTGCCCTATGTATACTATTCGTCGCAATTTTTACATTTGATACTTCAAGATTAAACGCTTTTTGAGGTTTTTATATTACCCTATTACTGTGATCTTAACAATATAAAAAGATTTTCAATTTGAATTGAGACCAACCTCTAATAATTTAGTACTTAGATGTGCAAACGTATTTTAAATTTTTTAATAGTCGAGTTTCGAGGTTTACTGTATTTTTTATAGTGTTGCCCAAACGCAAGAACAAGATGAGACTTAGCCAGTCTTGGTCTTGGTCTTGCGCCAATACACCTGGTCTTGGTCTTGGTCTTGGTCTTGCGCTCCCAGTCTTGGTCTTGGTCTTGGTCTTGCGCTCCCAGTCTTGGTCTTGGTCTTGGTCTTGCAGCAAGAGTCTTGCAAGTCTTGCAATTACCTATTAGTCTATAACTATTTATTAAAGTTTACTTTAAATCCTAGAAAAACGTATTAGAATTGGAACATTGTGAGCTTGAATGAATATAGCCATAGTAAAGATCAAGCAGATTAATAAATAACTGAAGATTTGATAAGAAATTCGAAAAATCAACTGACCTATATGTCGTTTTCCATGGAAGTAACTGTTTCTTAATAAACATTTATGATCCTTGCTTTCTACCGCGCCGCCTCGCCACGTGCCGGCTCTATGATAAGGATGCCGCCGCAAATCAAACAATAATATAAAGCGTGTAAAAAAATTCGAAATTATTTTGCATGAGTATACCTACACCCTATGGCGGCAATCAAATAGTGTCAAATGTTATGATTTCGGCGTGGCGGCAACGATTGTTTTAGATTTCAAAAGAAGCCGCCGGCGCGTGTATCATAACCATGTACTTCCGAAAAGCGGCAAATTTCTTTGAGAAGTAAGTACAAAACCTTTGATGCCGCATTATCAAAGTGCCGATGGTTAAAACATAACTATGCATGCACTCAGTTTGATTTTAATAATTTTTTTATTCGCTATGTTTATGGTATTAGTCGTAATGCGCATAGGTCCAGTTTTTCATATTCTTTGATACAGTTTTTTGCGTCTCATAGAATTCCTAAGCGTACCTACCTATACACCGAACTGTTACACCTAACTACTCAGTGAAATAGCGCTAAGTCCTAGCTGCAAGACGCAAGAGTCTTGCAGGCTATGTCTTGTTCTTGCTCAAGTCTTGCACGGTCAGTCTTGGTCTTGGTCTTGCTAAAAATACGCGGTCTTGTTCTTGGTCTTGGTCTTGCAAAAACGCAAGAACAAGACCAAGACTGCAAGACCAAGACTGAATTTGGGCAACACTAATTTTTTAGTACAATTCGCCAGATCCCCTATTGATTTTGTTGTAGTAATTTCATCAACCATTAACAGTAATCAATTGACATTCTTTTAGATTACTCTGATCCATATCTCCTTGTGGGCCACAATGCTGTTGTAGCCGTTCATCGTCTTTATAGCAAAGAATTATTCTTTGGGAATTATCCCCACGTCAAAGCTTTATTAAATAATAACCAATTCCGTTTGGCAAATGGTCTCGGGGAAAACAGACTTGGTTCGTTAAGAGAAACATCTCCTTGGAGTCGATATAAAAATGTCGCGTTTCCGTCTCATTTGTTTGGATGAAAAGTGACTGTTATAAAGTCAAAATTGTGGATATTATCCATTAATTACTCATTATAAACATTTATTGTTTATTAAAACAAAAGAAAAGAGAGACAAAACTATTATATGTATAGATACATATATCCAAACAAAATTATTACGTGAAATATTTATTTTTAACATCATGTAGATATTACAACAATTATGCCTTTTGTCTATGAATGAACTTTAATTTAGAAATAAAATTAAGATCGTCTTTGATTTTTAAGAGATACT